AATCTCTCTATCTATCTTATAGCCCAATCTAGATATATCAATTCATAAGACACTCTTTCTTTTAAAAAGAGCGAGATACAACATTAACAACTCTAACAAAAATTAGAAGCCAAGCAAAACGGTTTCAAATGATGCATATTCCTCTAGGCTCTAAAAAAAAGAAAAAATAAATTAAACAATAATTTTTTGAATTTTTTACCAAATATTTGGTATTTATATTTATATGTCAATATAATTATGAAAATAATATTTATAATTATATCTTGATAAATACCGTACATTCATATAATACTATATATATATATATATATATATATAATTATCATCAATTATTATATTTTTATTTTCTACAGAGTGTCTATTGTTAAGATTCGTAATGAAGAGTGTTTCAACTTCGACTAGCTTGACATTTTTTGTTTTTTGAATGTGTTCCTTTTTTTTAGTTATATGTTAAATTGCGCAACAAATGAGAATTTTCTTGTTTAGATTATAATTTTTGTTGTTGTTCTTTTTGTCAGTTTTAGTTTGTGTGGTTTTTGTTATTGCTGTGTTGCTTCGTTGGTTTCTGCCCTCAGCCTGCTTCTTGTTTATGTTTCATTAAGTTTTTTTTTCTGCGTGTGTGTTAGTGTGTGTTTTTTGTCATTGTCGGAGTCGACTGTTGCTGCAGCTGCATCTGTTGGATACTCACACTCGCACTCCTCTCTGTGTCCACTGACTGATAAAACTAGTCGCAGTGTTGACTTTGGACCTGCTGTGCCCGCCTCACCCCTCCCCCTGCGGCACCAACCGTGCCCCTCTGCGCACAACCGAACCGCTTGGCTTTGTTTGTTTTTCACAGTAACAAATTAACAACAACAAAAATAATAATATAAATAATAATAATAATAAGAGCAGCCAAAGGCAAAAAACCTAACACATGTGCGTGTGTCAGAGTGTGTGTGTGTGTCGTGTGTGTGTGTTTGGTTGGTTGACTTTGGCTTTCTAGCTTTTTGCCTGACCAAATGCAACAAAGTAAAATGCAATTACGCTCGTATCTATGGCACTTGCAATTGTTCTCGTTTTTTGCACTGTGTGTGGCTGACTGTGTGTGTGTGTGTGTGTGTGCCTGTGAGTGTTTATTTAAGTCATGTTGTGTAATTTTATATTGAGGTCAGCACTGCTGACTGTAATTTTTAAAAGTTGGCATTTTGTTTGACCCGCACACAGCTCAAAAAGACCAAAAAGTTTCGGCTGCTCCTTTTGTGTGGGTCATGGAAATTGCTCGCATTGCATGCGATTTCCCATATGGAAATTGGCCATCAAATGCATCTCTTTAAATCAAGCATTTCTTTGTTGCGCTGCATTTAAGTAATTTTATTATTTTTCATTTAACTCCATTGAACATTGCTATCGCTAGTGGGTTTCGGTCTGGCTCTTAAATGTTGTTGACACTGTACGGTTGAAAAGTTTTCTATGAATTTCTTCTTACTCTTTAAATTTTAAATATACTCAAGTTCATATTGTAGCTAAAAGATTTAATATACCCATCTATTGGTACATCCGTCTGTCTGCATCTATGCACACTAGGACGGTCAAAAGAGGAACGTTTTTATATAGTAAACTTTTTTTTAAAGATATCTTACTAAAACTTGGCATTTCAAAGTTTGCTATATATTTGCAAAGTATTAGAAACATCAGACCACTTTATGATATGCTTGCTATATAAGCGGTTAAGAACTTGTTTGTTTATCAAGACTTTCCTCTTTTCCTGGTATTTCAAAGTTCCAGAATTTTGAATTAGTCAATATTTTTCGACAAGTCGTTTAGAATGGTATACCATTGTAATGAAAGTATTCCAAATATGAATTTTTTGGCATTTTATTTCAAACTAAACTCGTGAAGAATGGCATTAAATACAACAAATGAAAATTCACATTTTTTTTAATTTAGAACTATTTTCATTCCACAATATAAATATATAATAATCCAAAAGGTATTTAATCCACAATAAATAATACAAACATTCCATTGTTTTTGAACTTGCATTCACTTGAAAAGAGTTTCGAGTATTGAACTAACGAGTCTTTTGCCACTCGCTACTTGTCGCAGCGGAGTGTGGCAAGTGCGCAGACTCAACAAAAGTCGCTCTGTTGCTCATTCAGCTCAACAGGAGATAACTCCAAATGGAGCCGTCCAAACAGCTGCTGGACAAGTCACCTCAGACTGGGTAGATTGGTAAGGCGCCTGCTTAGTTGGGGTCAGAAGTCTTACAGAATTGGTTGGGCCCATGGAGCCAACAGACGGGCAGCTAGGGGGTTACTAAACAAATGACGATTTCACCTGACTTGCAATATGATTTCTTCTTGTTGTTGTTTTTTATTTTTAATGTTAGAACATAAAAAATTACCATAAATTGACAACGTAAAAATATTAATAAAGCACGCTTGAGCGCGTAAACCTGATTGCGAGTCATGTGCGTGCGTGGCACTTAAATTTTTATGGGCGCAAAGGATTTTGTTGAGCATGGCAAGCATTTCGACTGTATTTAAGCGCCGCATGAAATATGCATGAGACGCTGTCTGTGCCAGGACAGAGCTCGACAGCAATTGAATTGAATTCATCGTATGCATCCCATATATCGAATGCAGCTGTCCAGCGACAACAATGCGACAAGGCCAAAAGTCGTCGAACCGTGAAAGCGGCTCAAAGGACATTTCCAACAATTTGCATCTGTTTGGCCGCTGGCAAACATTTTCATGTGCGTATTAAAAAAAAGAAGAAGAGTACATATTTCCACGGCATTGCAACTTTATTAATAGTATTGTCATTGGCCCAGCTCCAGCTCCAGCGCCTGCGGCTAGTACGTGCGCTGGCATAATTACCCGACTGGCGACATCCTCTGGCCGGCAGTGCAAAGGTCCTGCTGTCCGAAAATTGCCAATCGCCGAGATAATAAAAGCACATAAATGCGAACCGCGTGCGACGACCAGCAGCAACAATATTTTAATTAACTTAATTAAGCCATTTTTATTTGCCACGGTCAGGTGTTAACTCACACACACGCATACAACAAAAACAGCATGCGTGCATTGTTTACCTTATGATGCAGCTCGATACACAAAGATTAACTCAAAGGACTTGATCGATGTGCGGTTCCAGCATCTGTGAAAGCAAATATTCGTAATATATGTTCGACTGGCAGCCACACTGTGAAAAGGGCTACACTGCACAAAAACTATTATATGTTGTACCAAATTTCAGCTCTGCCTTGCTGATTGTTATAATAACTTGACTTAACCCTGGGCAGAATAATGTAAAGAAAGTATATTTAGCTTTTGCTTCCATGAGAAACGGATTATTTTATGCGAAATGTGACTTTCTTATCTTAAGGAAACTCATTTCTACAATTTTTTATTTGTAAAGTATTTTCAGTTATTTATAAACGCAAAATTTTTAATTAAAATTAATATATCTAGCTAAAAGTCAGTAAACTATCAACTATCGAGGTTTCTTGGTACTTTTTTTTTATTTATAATAAATTGAGGATATACAAAATTTCCTTAAATATCAATTTTTCTCGCAGCCCATCTTTTGAGTTGTGGCGTTATTCGTATAAAAATTGAACAAACTGATTTGTAAATGCCCGGCTTTAATATTGATGTAGGTATCTATACTTTGAGAGAAGGCGTAAGCTATTTCCTTGCCCAAAATGCATTGCCAGTTCTGTAGCCCCAATGACTTTTCGAACTGTTTCTTGATGGTTTGTGTGACAAATGCTTTTTTGTTAAAGTTCGGCTGGGCCTTGACTATATTGAGTGCTGACTTTTGCATTTCTTCTGGCATATTGGTTTTCTTAATTACAAATGAACGCGGTTTGAATTGATTAGGTCTGGGTCTGGCTTTATCACCAAATATTGAAGTTTCCACATGCAATAAAATATCTTCGTTACTTTCAATATCCCTTTCAGTTTCCTCTATAGCTGTGTCCAGCTCCAGCGGATCCAGTAGCTGTGTTTCATCATCAAATGAACCGTGGTTGAATTGATTTGGTGTGAGTTTGCCTGTAGCGCCCAATATTCTAGCTTCCAGTTTCGATAAAAGAGCCTCGTTTCTTTCAATATGCCTTTCCGTTTCCTCTAAAGCTCTGTCCAGCTGCAGCACATGGTTCGCTTGGTTCGCTTCCAAGTTCGAGGGAGGAAATATTGCTAATGTCACACTTCCAAAGACCAACAACATAGGAAGTCTCAACATATTGTAAAATATTTATTTGCGTTGATGGATCTAGAATTCTGTACAAGCGCAAGTGCAAAACGAAACTAAATCTTGGCAAGTAATTCACAGCTTAATAACTGCCATCGACCTTATCAGCAGCAACTATTTATTTCAAAATTGCAAATTCTTGGCGTTGAAGACTTGATACTCTAGGATAAGTATTAATTGCTTTCAGTATCGTCAAGATTTTAAACCAGATACATATGTATTGGTTTTAACCTATTATTAGACATGGATTAAAGATAATTATAAGTATAAACCAAATACAAAGCAAACCTGATTATATTTATATTTTTAAGTCGGAAATACCCATCGCAATAGCATAGCATGATTGTACTCTCCCCAACGCCAAACACTTTATCAGCTTCGATGCGGTGGTTGGTTGACTCGAACCACATTTTTCAATTGTATACATACATTTATGCCGATATAATTATAATATTATAAACACAAAAATTTACCAAAATCTTAAGTTTTGACTGTCGGCAGCATTGATCTTCAGCGATAGCTCAAGCATCTGTTGATAGTAAAATTCTAGAAAAGCATATCGACAAAATAATAAAAAAAAAAAACAACATGTTTTTACATTTTATAAGTATTAAAATGTAAAAATAATTAAGAATATCGAGCAAGAAGTTCCGCGAATAATTTTTCAAATAAAATTGATACAAGCTCAATCTCATGGAAATCTTATTGTTACAGCGGCTGATCACAGCTCGAGAGATGATGAAAACAACTAAGATTTGTAGCTGATGTAATTGATTTAATCCATTTCGAAAGTTGTGTGAATTGAAAACTAATGTAAATTTAATAAACGCGATTGTAAGTGTGGGTTGCTTGAGTGAATCGGTTTTATACAGCGTCATGCCACTCCATTTGCTCAGTGTTGCAAGATATAGAAGATTCTAACAGTGTGCCATTTCAAATCAGAGTTCTTGGTGTGTTGTTGATATGGAAAGTGGATGGAGAAGGGGCTACAACAACGAAAAAGGCGAACTGCAAATGTTTCGTGTGTGTGTGCTGTGTGTGTGTGTATTGGAGTGTGTGTAGAATTGGGGGCTAAGTTAACCGCTCTTGAATAACAATATGGCCACCTGTCCCAGGTAAAAGTAGATGAAGTGGCGCGTCTCATGTGTTACATACGATCCAAAGTTGCGTCCGACAATGCAATGCCAGGTGGGATTGTACTTCTTGTCGAACTCCTTCTTGATGTAGGCCGCAATGTCCTTTTCAATGTTGTACTTCTCCAGGGCCTGAGTAGCACAATCCACAGCATCCTGCTGCATCTCCTCGCTCATATCCGCATTTTTGATGACTGCCTTACGATCTGACATCTTGGCGCTATAGTTTGGTATTAATCACCAGTTCTACGGGAGTTCGTTCGCTTTATTAACATTCAGATTTGTGGTCCCTAGGCACCGGCACTTACATTGTGGTCGTTCTGACTATCAAAATATCCAGCGAACGCCGATTTCGGATAATTTTGTCACAGAATTCTAATTTTTAATAATAAGCAGGCATTAGTTTAAATTTGACTGATAAATCAATTGTCTATAGATGGAGCAGCATGAAAAGAGTGAAGGCTGCTCGAGACTTACGCACAAAATTAATTCCCTAATTTAATTTTTGCACAATTTTCACTAAATAGCCTTGGCAATGACAGCTCCACTGAAACGTTGCCCTAGTGTTGCGAAGCGCTGAAATCTAGCATATGGCAACACTGGCAAAGTTCCAGCGTGCTTTTTTTAACAATCGAACTCTCTATGATTTGTCCTTTCATGCCAATTTTTTTTTTGCTGTTAACATATAAATATAAATTATCCCGCAAAGTAAAACAACGTAATTATAAGTTAAAAAGTAAAAGTTTAATCGCACAGAAATTTTATTGAATTTTGCTTTTTGAAAACTATTTGTGTGAAAAAGAAAATGTAAATGCAACAAATATACATATGTATGCTTCATCCAGAACGTGTTTTATTTCAGGTAATTGAGTCTATGATTATGATTTCTTCTACAATATGAACATCTATTATGGTAGCCTACATTTGTCCGATTAACCGCTCTTGAACAGCAATACGGCCACCTGGCCCAGGTAGAAGTAGATGAAGTGGCGCGTCTCATGTGTCACATACGATCCAAAGTTGCGTCCGACAATGCAATGCCAGGTGGGATTGTACTTTTTGTCGAACTCCTTCTTGATGTAGGCGGCAATGTCCTTCTCAATGTTGTACTTCTCGAGTGCCTGTGTGGCACAGTCCACCGAATCCTGCTGCATCTCCTCGCTCATATCCGCATTTTTGATGACTGCCTTACGATCTGACATTTTGAAGCTATTTCTTTTCGGTTATCTGCGAATGGTTTTAGAAATTGTTAAGGGTTTAATGTCAATAGTTTAATGGCGCAAAAAAGCACAAATTGCTGACAAACCTTGTGGCTGTTTTTACTCTCAAAAAAGTGCAGTGGAAGTCACAGAAACACCAATCTGGAAAAAAAATTTGGTCGTCACAAGGAAAAATAGGAAAGTTTTGAAATGTGAGATTAGTTTATTTTGACTTAGAAATCAATTGATTCGAGGACTTACGTAGGCAAACAATTCTCAATTGGAATTTAAATTTGCTACGAGTTTTCGTTTCAATTTGTCAGGAATTTTTGTTTGTTCGGCGAAGTAGTCGTTGTGGCAGCACTGCCAAAGCTGATATATAACAGATTTCTGTTATCGATAACTCGATAGTATTGCAATTAAATGAGCTTACGCTCTGACTGCGTTCTCAATCTTTGCGATATAAAAATAAGCACGCTCCTAAAAATGGTTGATAAATTGCACGCCGGAATTTGCACTTACGACGAAATTTCATTAAAATGTATTTTTTTTGGCCGGACACGTGATAAATGCAAATGCGCAAGGCAAAATGGAAAACTTGTTAAATTCGATGAGACATGCAATCGCGGTGCACGTAAAGGAAATTGAATTTTAATAATAGCATTTGTGCAGCTAATCAAGTAATGCAACTAATTTACGGTCGCTCTTTTTTTAGCCTTTACTGTACGTGGACACGGATCTAAACACGAACCAACTGGAACCAACTGTTCAACGCCCGATTCAACGACAACATTGCGAACAAATTTTGCCTGTTTTTTAATGAAACGCTAATTTACGGCACACACGCAATCAACAACCAGCCCATTGTCCGGGTAATGCTTATGGTAGTTACCACATTGCAGACCATTGTTAAAAAATAATAATAACAGCTAGATAAGTAAACACGCATGAATGAGTCCATTTGGAGTCCGATTTGTCCCGATTTGCCCTGAAATGCGTAATATAGTATATCGTTTAATGAAGTAGAAAGTAATTTGAAATATTGCGGCATCTCTATGCAGCAAAGATAATTTACAAATTCTAGCAACTATGTTTATTGTCAATTTGTGCTCAGAAATTTAATTCAGATATTTTGGCTATTTTGCGGCATTTAGCAGCACTGATTATCTGTCTATGCGTTTAACTGTTCCGTTCTTAAGATTGAGAAGTTCAAGATTTTTTAACCATTCGTTAAGCATTTCAAGTTCAGTACAGTTTTTTAAGCTTTTCAAGTTCAGGGCAAAAAATAATGCATATAAAAATTGTATTTTTATTTTTAAGCTATTTAATTTTTATAAAAATTTCTGTACATAAACTTAACCGGCTTATTACATATTAACTCGCCAATCTGTGAGCCTATATGTGTTGGAACTACGGAATTTGGTACGTAATTCCAATTAGGATAGGTTACTTTGCAAACACATTTTTTTCCTTGCCTATATTATCTGTTTAAATAATTTTCAAGTGCATTTTAAATTCACTTAGTCATTTGTATTGTTGTTGTTTTCACGCCCATGGCCCACTTGGCTAGAAAAGTGCAAGAATGCCAAAAAGCCAAATGCATATTGAACCTACTCAGGATGTTGCCAAGTAATGCAGACAATGCAAAAATGTTTCTTCTATTTTTTTGCGGCACACAAAAAGTTGCGCTGGGAACAAAAGTTTTTAATCCGCCGCATGGAAAACTTTAATCGAAATGGTCGAGTGGGGAAACTAAGTCAAACTTTTCAAATTGATATATCAAACATTCGATTCGTATGCCTTTGCCTATTCCCGAGGTGCCTCTCTCTTTCTCCCTAGTCGTGAGTGTGTGTTCGACTGTCTCCTCTTGCGCAAACATTTTGACTGTCACATGCCAATTGCGTGTTGAAATGCATGCAGGAATTTAAGCTGAAAACTTTTCCCACCGGCTGTGATAAATGCAAATGCCAAAGTTTTGCCCATGCTCAACACTCACACAGACAAATATGTAGATATATGTTCTATCTATATAAAGTTGCATTTTAGTTTGCACGCCTAAAAAGTTGACAAAAAAGAGCGATTCCATTTGCGAGTGCTCTAGAAATGTAGAGATTAAAAAGCCTGAGCTGACCTTTTGGCACGCCAGCAAGCAATGCACTTTAGAAAATCCCGTAGTGCACTTGACTGTTGCGTAACTACAAATCCAAAACGTGACTTTGTTCATTTTTGTAAACATTAACAACACTTTTTCACTTTTATTTATTGTTTGTTCTGTTTGAGGCAGCTTCAAGTGCCGCTTAAATAAAAATTAATAGCGACATTTTGTAAAGCAATTCAGTTTTAGTCGAATAGTTAAATAAATTAAGTATAGGAGTCTTTTATTTAACATTTTAATATATAATATATATGTAATACTTATTATTTATAATATATTTTAAATATGTCTGACCAGTTTCGCATTACGATGCCTTTTGAACTTTTTGACATCGCGATGCTAAGTTTTTGGCCAAAAGAAAAGACATTTGCGACCCGCAGTGCATCTTTCGGAATGAAGTCCGAACCAGAACACTGAGCGGACTTTTATAATTGTATATTTGTAAGTAAAGTTTTGCTTAATAAATAATTAAATATTTCAAATATGCATATGTGGACTATTTAAGAAGGCATGTGTATGAGTAAATCAATAAGTTAGACATAAATATTGAAACGCCACACCTAAGTAAGCGGCCTTTATAACTTCGTAGGGTATCGTGGCAGCAACTTTTTTGATTCAAATGTAGTATATATAAACATAAAAAAAATTAACTTGTTTAGGATTGCCAAGCACATAGTAAAAAGTTATGACCGCCAATGCAATTGTCGTGTCAGCAGCAACAGGAAAAACCCGACAACGAAATTCAAATAATTTGATGAAAATTTTTAATTAACCAACGCTTGTATGAATATTCACTGGTTGCTTTTAACACTGGTTTTGGGCGTTGCCCACCGCAAAACGCAAATATAGCAGGCGAAATTAATTTGCCCAGTGCAAATATGCAAAATTCTGTGTGCGGTGTCATAAATTTCAGCAGTGAGAAGGCAACTCAACTCAACAAAAACCCAACCAAGCCAAGTAAATAACAAAAATTTTTCGCTGACGCTGTGCGAGTGCGAGCAAAGTCAAACAGAGTCCAAATATAAACACACACTCGCACACATACACACACACACACACACACACTCGGGCAATTGCAGTGCAAGTCATCAAGCAGTCGGAGTTTCAGTTCCAGTTGCCAACTTGGTCTCAGTCTTCATAACCCAATTGCCACAATGAGGCGGCTTCAGCTGCTGTGTGGTCTTTCCAAGAAATTTCACCTGCCATGGCAACCCTAGACAAAAGCTACGTCAACAAGCACCTACACCTAGACACACACACACAAGTATACGCACACACTGAGTGTATATGTAGAAATTTAGTGGTATTATGGCCGGCTAGCTTACGAGTAGTTGACGTCTATGACTGCCAAATACTCGTACTGCCACTTGCTGTCGTCAGTGGCACTCTGCCACTGGCACTGCCACATCCAGCAGCAGAGTCAGTCGCAGTTGCTGGGAGTTAGTTACCCAGCGGGCGCTGCCGCTGTCATAAACAATCTCATTTTGGTATTCAAGAAACCCAGTGAACAAATTGTTGCAATAATTGCAAGCAAAAGTTAAATGCAGCCTAGGGCCTTGATAGCTATGTCTATAATTATCTTAACTGCAATTACTTTGTAATTAAATATAAAAAACAACTAAGTTATAAAATTATTCAAAATTTTCTTATAATTGTTATTACATTTTCTATGGTTTTTGATAAGTCTAGACGGTGTCAGAAGATTGCATAATTTGTATTATCTAGCAAACATTATTTTCTAATATTTTTAAAGATTTTCTATTTCATTTGTAAATCTCCGTCCTCGTGATATTGTCATTACTAGTTTCTAGTGAAGTCAAAGAAAATGTTTTCTGGGCAACTAAGTGCTACTGGCCAGTTGCATGTGTATGCGAATATCTCTGTGTGGGTGAGTTTGTGTGCGTGTGTCTGTGTGGGTCTCTGCTCATTATGCATAAATTGTCGCTGCGAAAATTTGCAGCGCTAAATTCTGACAAAGTTAATGGCATTATAATGCCAAAACGCCGCTGTCTGGCTGCCACAGAGTGAGAGCGAGAGGCACAATGTGTAAGTGGGAGAGTCGGTAGGAGAGGGGCAGAGCTGTTGCAGTATTAGCCAGCGGCTTTCGGTTGCCCGTTGAGCTGGCAGCTGCATGAAGTGCTGGTGCTGGTTGCCGTGTGGCATGTTAAAGCCATGAGTTGTTACCAAAAACTCTGTCGATTATTTGCAGCCGGCGGGCGGTGTGATGAAGAGGGTCGTTTTCGAGGCCGTTGCAAATGACCCTCGTTTGCTAGGGTCCAAACAACAGGTCAGCTAACAGTTCTGACATTGGACTACATGGGTCACAAATGTCAGCACAAACACACACACTGACGGCTTTAACTTGTTAACTTGTTGCCAACTTTATCGCGAGCTGCTCGCATGCGCTTCAGCGCCACAGAACATGGCTTTGATGCAACAACCACAGCAACTGCAACAACAATAGAACAAGTACAAATACAATCGCTGCTTGGCTATCGTCTCGGCTGTTGTTGCTGCCGCTGCTGCCGCTGCCGTTGCTGCTGCTGTTGTTGTTGCTGGTGTTGCCGCTGCTGCTGCTGTTGCTGTTGCGTTGTTCACTTCCTGCACACGCCGCACGCGGACGCCACCGCAAACTTGCGGCAGCGCCCTGTTCTCACTTCCGGTTTCCGGCTTGCCAGCTACTAGTTGGTTACTGTTAACTTGTTTTGATTTTTTAATGGCTCGCATGACGGCAGCAGCAAAAACGGCGGCAACAACGACAAAAACAAGCTCAACAACGGCGACAACATTTATGCCTTCCATAAATTCTTGACTTAAAGCAGCTTCTAAAGTGGAGTCGCTCACAAATTAAATCTACATTATTTCTGTTAACGTTAGTTAGCGCATACAAATCTGTAACAGAAGACGAGCCTATGCTCAATAACAATTTCTTAGATTTATGTTAATTCATTTATGTTAACTTTCGTACCTTTGTTATTGGCTATTAATAATGATTAAAGTATGTTAATGCGAGTTGTTAACGGTTAGATGAGTTGAAAGAATTTAATCATAATTTAGTGTGCCTTAACTTTTACTTTGATTAAAATAAATCTTTGCTAATGTATTGTATGCCAGACAGTTAACGCCAATTAGGAATCTTTTCTTCTCTCTAATCAAACCTTGAAGCTAGTTAATCATGCCGAACTGCA